GCTCAAAGGGGACCCTGGACCTTGCTTTGGTTAGTACATTTAGGTTCCAGGTCAAGAAATGGATAACTTGGGGTGGATTTACCAAGGTAGTTTTCTGCAGGCATCTCCTAGCGTGAGTGCATAGGTACAGGTTGTTTCCTTCCTTAGTATCCCTAAAGGCATAGAAAACCTTTATTTAATGGTACAATTAACTGAACCCTTTGTCCAACTCCCCTGTAGGAAAAGGAGTACCTTTCTAACTGATTCAGAGAGAGGATCTATTATTAGAGTCAGGGCTGTGAAGGGACCAATCAGAAGTTATAGTGGACCCTCTGTGGGACCTTTCCTGGATGCTAACTTGCACCCAGCGCCCAGGTTTTAGGTTTAGAATACCCATGGGAAGATGCTTTAGCAATCCTTGCAGGGGAGCAACCTCCCTTGGCTGGATATGCCGACAGTTCTTAAGAGGAAAAACTTCTCAGGTTCTGAGACAATGCCCTCCATGGCAAGAAGAGGGTGCCACCTGGGCGTTTTCTGCCCCTTTGACTGGAGAACTAGGATACAAACCTCTGCATCAGCTGCAAGAAGGAAAAGCAGACTTAGTTGGCCATCCTCAACTTGGAGTGCCCATCCTGATGGCTCAAGATGACCTAGCTCTTGTCATTAACCTTATGGGATGTGGCGGTTTTGATCAGTAGCCAAGTGATCTTGGAAAGCCAGGAGACCTGGCTTTCGTGCTCTGAAGGATTCTGCCCCCCCCCCCGACCTTGATAAAAACACACTGGGTGTTGGCAAGAGACCGAAGGAGGGCCCGGTACCAGAAAAAGAAATGTAGGCACCCACAATGAACCTCTTGACTGATTCAATGCAGATAAGCCTCTGATAGATCAAACGAGGCCAGGAAGTCTCCATTCCAACTTTTATTTATTTATTATTTTGATTTATACCACGCCCTTCCTGCCAAGTTGGGCACAGGGTGGCTTACACACTTCCTCATTAGCTACTTGAAGCCTAGAATGCCCCGGGCACCCCGATTTTCCTAGGGGGACAAAGGAATGAACTTAGTAGACTCCCACTGTCCTTGCGCCCTGGCACTGAGACTGTCCCTGTGTGGAATGACCTACAGTCAAAGGGGGGGGGGAATCTTCTGGATGCAAGGATTTCTTGGAACTGTGTGATTTCAATGGGTGAGCTGGCTATAAGCAGCTGTTCTATTGCTGCTTTGACTGACATCTCCCCACAGCATTAGGAACAGCTCTTGAAAGGGGGAGAAGGCAGTTCTTAGACATACCGTCTACTCTTTTTAAAAGTAGAGGACTTACTTTCCTTTTCTTTCTTTTCTCTCCCCACCCCCCTTTTGTCCCGAACGAGGCGAATGAGCAGCAAGCCATGTGTTATGTATGCGGACCGCCACTAGGGGTCTGCGGCTAAAGCAGGAGCTTGGTCCCCAAAGACAAAGGGGGGGACCGAGGATCCCAGTCCACCGAGAGTCCACCAATAGCACCCTTGGTGGGAGATTCAAACCCTCCAATGGGGACAGAGGTCTGCCGGGTAGAGTGTATATAGTTGGCCTTGCAGGGCCGTTTTATGGTGTCTTGTTGTGAAGTACAATAAACGCGTCTGAACGCATATCATAGTCCGAGTCCTCCATGCGTCGAACCCACTACTTTTCACCATGGAAGCTCTGCATGCTTGAAAAAGAACAGTTTCTGTCAGAGCTCTCTCAGCCCCACCTGTCTCACAGGTTGTCTGTTGTGGGAAGAGAAAGGGAAAGGAGTTTGTAAGCTGCTCTGAAACTCCTCTGGGTAGTGAAGGGCAGGGTATAAACCCAATCTCCTCCTCCTCTTCTTCTTCTTCTTCCTCCTCCTCCTCCTCTTCTTCTACCAGCAGTGGCTCTCCAGGGGGGTACCAGGCTAAGGTCTTTCACATCACTTGGAAATGTCAGGGATTAGGGCCCTCTGCCAACCAGATGCTCTGCCACCGAGCCATGGCCCTTTCCTGGGGAAGTATCTGGCGTACATCTCTTGAAAGAAGGAGTGTGCCTGCACAGAGGTAACCATAGGCTGTCTCTCTGGCTGCTCCTCATCCTCTTGAGGGTTTGAGGAATCAAACACCTCAGAGTCTCCATCCTGATAACCCAAAAGGGGCACGACTCCCTGCTACGTTGGGGGAGACAGCCTGTCAGGTGGGAGACCCTGGAAGAATTCCTGCATCTTGGTAGGACCATCTACTAGCCTCCTTTATTTTCCTCCCTGATCCAGACTAAAAAACCCACATGGATCTGGGAAGGAGCCTCTTTCCTTGGTGTTTCCAGGTGGGAACCTGGGAATGAGTTGGAGACCAGTGAATTAGGAGTTCTCGTGGCATACACCTCCTGAAGTCTCTGAGATGATGCTGTCTGGGGGTTGAGATACAGGGAGGCCTGCTCGTGGCCACACCTCCTGCCTAAATGGAGGCTTTCCCAGAGGACGAAGGCTTCAGAAAACTTAAACTGGCTTCAACCTTAACGGGGCTCAGGAGAGACAGAGAGAGTCGAAGCTGAAGGCAGGACTCTCTTGGAAGCCAGCCCTTTTGCCAACCCAAATGCCACACGGAGGGCTGAGGTGCTGCTTGCTGTGTGGCTGCTTCCCACCCTTCATGCCCCTTAGAGGTGAGAGTGGGACGCAGGGCCCTAGGGCTGCCCCCTCCCCGAAGCACCAGATTGGGAGAAGATGCTGGCAAGCCGGGGGGTGGGGGAACGGGACGTTGCAATCGGCTCCCCTTTTCTCACTGCTGTCGGAGTGCGGTAGAGGATGGGGGACTCCCTCACCACCCTTTCCCACCTTGCAAAACTCCTCCTCAGAACTGAAACTGAAAGAACGAAGGCTCCTCTATGCCACGAGGCCAGCCCTTGCAATAAACTGGTAAGATCTGGAAGGTCAGGGGAGTCGGGAAGGCATATATGCTGTCTCCGTGCAGGCGCTCTGCTTTGGAGCTGGTGCCTCCTGACCTCTCAGGAACAGTGCGGAGGGCTGGGGCACGTCTGCAGCCAGTTCTACCTCCCCCCATAGCACAATGGGGAGGGCTCCCAGGCTGAGGCCTTCCTGCCCTTTATATTAAACTGGCTGGCTCTGACTGAGCCGGTCTTACCATAGCTGTAGAGGGTTCAGTTTCCCCAACAGGCCCCCCCCATTCTACCAGGCTGTCTTACCACGGTTCAGGTGGGGTCACAGGGGCTCCCACTGGTCTTCTGTTGCTCCGATGGAGCCGACCCCTTCCTGGTCTATAGGAGCTTTCTGGGTCTCAGCGCTCCTTCAACAGGTTCCCGCAGGCTCTGCTGTGCCCCTGGGATTATCTGGGGGGGGGGTGCTCCCAGCCCGAAGGGTGGAGACCTTGGCGGGAGTCTGCCGTCTGGCCGTGAGCACTAGGGAGCTCCTAGTGTCCTTGTCCCCCAACGCTTGCTCGCTGCCTCTCCTAGGCAATGTGGGAGAAAGGGAGTAAACCTGTCCCTTCCTGTGTGAGCCTCAAATTTGCTTGAAATTCTTGAAGATATACTGTTCTGACGGGATCGTGGCACTCTGTAGAGTGCTGCAAGAGACGTCCTGCGGCTGGGCAGGGCAGAAAAGACTGGAGCTTTCCAGGGTAAGTCCCTTCCCTCCAGAATTACAGACGTTTGACAACCCGGCCTGCAGAGGAGGAGGAGTTATATCCCAGAAGTAAAGACTGTCCCACCCCTAGGACCACTGGAGAATACACAATGCATCAGGAAAACAAAACTCCAGAGACGCATTTCCTTTCTCATTTGTGCACCGACAACTAATCATGCTGTTATGTACTGGGCCTGACATCGACTGACTCAGCTTGGGTACACAGAACAACAGACTGCTAGGATCCTGAGAGGAACGTATCAACCAGGAGTACCTCTGTAAATAACCTATCATGGGTAGTTGTGTGTGTGGGGGGTGTGGTGTTGGTCACAGATTTAAGCAGGGCTTCAGTCCTACTACGGGTGCCTTTAGTTTTGAGCTGTAATCACAATAAAGCATGAGCTGATCACAATCACGTGTCAAACCCAGTATATTTCATATGCTGATGTATGGTCTGCCTTGCTCTGTGAACAAAAGTCAATGGAAGTAGAAACACAGTTCAAAAGTAACGTGTTTAAAACCTTGGCAGCTCATATTTTTGCTACATTGGTAAGACCGCAATGTATTGAATGAGAAGGCGGAGGATAAACTGCAACTGATTCTAAAATTTTAACTAGCCAGCGGGTTTTTTCTCCTCCTGCATCCATTGCTCTCTCTCTCTCCCTTGAATAATCCACAACAACAGATAATGTGGAGGACTTGTAAACACTGACTGTAATTGATTAAGGCGATTAGCAGCTTGCTCCTAATTTGTTCATAGGACGCTTGCAGACTTGTTCCCTGGGGCCAGAAAAGAAGTGCTGCAGCCAAGCGCTGGAGCTGTGCATGGAAACAGAGGCCGCAGCAGGATGCCGCTTCTGAACACGGAGCGGCACAGCATCCTTGTGACGAGAATAATCTAATTAATCAATCAATCCTGTCTAACATGTAAGAGACGACAGGTAGGATGATTAAGACAGAGAGTGAAATGCACATGCACACAACTTTACATTTGGAACCCACCGCTGGAGCCAAGCCACACAGCCTGAGTAAGCAAAAACATGAAGCCACAGAGGACCACTTTCTTGGTAAGTGGATCTTAATAAATAGCACGTGTGTGTTTGTTTTTTAAAATATAATGTTCTGAATACTTTCTGCATATCTTAGAGCAAGCTTTTGTTTTAAAAACCATTTTTATATATTTTGGGGGATTTAGGATTTTTTTCAGACAAGGTACCTCAATTCTAGTACAAATTGGAAACAGCAGCAAGACTCCCAATTAAACCCTTAGGGAGAACCAAACCGAAGCACCCAGTAAGAACGCGTGGCATTTTCACTGCCAAGCACTGAGTGAAACTAAACTCTGAGCATAGTCAAAGCTACAGTTTGGCACAGAATAACAAAATGTCTCCAAACCTGTGACTAATTCTCTGATTTCCAAATCTGTAGTCTTGCGGAGTAATCGTACTAGGGCTGGAATACCCCCACAGTTCTTCAAAGCGATTTTGTTGTCGTCATTTGCCTTCCCATAGACCAAGTTCCTCAGAGCTCCACAGGCACTGCGGTGGACTTCTGTCATCCGATGGTCCAGGAGGTCCACCAATAATTGTATTCCTCCTTGTCTTCTTATCTGCAACAGCAAACATTGAGGGGTGGGGGGTGGGAGAGAAATCAGTGACTGATGCAATTATATTCTCAGCATAGTCTACACCAATAGTTTTTGCATCACAACTACAGAAAGCAGAGAAAGTGAGTATCCACTAACAAGACAGTGTGCGAGGGGCTAACTTTCATTGGGTTAAATTCTTCGCAGCCATTAATGATGCCTGTCAAGCTCAGGCCTTGGTTGCCGTGGAAGGCTGTCCAGCCAAACTCAGGGTCTGTTGCGTTAGAGGGGTTAACTACTTTCTCAGATGTGTATTCTGGGGGCCAAATACTTCACTGCTGTTTATCTTCTCTGCTGGGAAGGGGGGAAATGGATGTGTGTGTGTGTGAATGCCTGCTTGAGCTTGAATAGTGCCACCTTGTAGCTGTCTGCGAGACCCTAGGAAGGGTATGATCTCAGTGTCCAACATGACCTTGTAACATGGGCAGCTTCCAGATCATGTCACTCTTAGTTTGCAGGGGCTGGGGGTGGCCACAAGGGTCAGCTTGGATCTTCGGCGGGCTGAATGAGATGATTGATTGGGTGGCTGGCACAGGGGGGAGTCCTGGTTTGTAGTTTAGGGTCGGAACTGGCATCTGGAGTCCAGTTCCAAGACAGAATCTGTCTGTGCCTGGAATCTCTCTACTTCTCAATAAACAAATCTTGCTGCTACAAGAGTGTTGTGGGAGTGATTGCATCCAGGACTTGACATAGTGTCAGAACTGTTTTTCCCTCGACCCTGAGTACCACCGAAGTGATGACCTCAAAAGATGAGGAGGCTGAAACACCCCCCCCTAAAGTCACCCGATGGCAAGGGGGCCACCGTGCCACCTGAAGGAGAACCAAAGGGATGTGATGTGAAGCAAAAGGAGTGGTGGGCTGAGATGGGGCAGTGGGATGCCCCCAACTGGGCTACCCCCTCCCTAGGAACTGCAGGAGTCTGGTGGTGGTGGGCAGATGAGGCCAGCACCAGGTCTCTGGAGTGTTCCAAGATGACCCCGATAGCCTGATGGCAGTGAGGAAGAGACGGACATAGAGCATGTCTGGCAGGAGCTGAAGACCGAAATTGCAGAGCTGCACAGAGACACCCAGGCTGCCAACAAAGAGGGGTTCAATTGCCGGATGGGAGAGTCTAAGAGTTCAACAGGAGGTGCAGCCAGAGTCACTGACAAAGCCTCCATTGGGGCCCCCATAGAAGCAGGTTACGTTTGCAGACCTTACGCAGAGCCCACAGTGTTGACAGCAGTGCTCAATTTAAGGGACTTGTGGGTGCTCTTAGTTGAGTTCTTATGGCCCTTATCTGATTTCTCCTTCTTTTTCTTATCCGGAGTAGAAGAAGCAGACTGAGTGATTGGAATTGACCGTTTCGACGCTGGCAGACTGATATCAGAGGCCGATTTTGTCAGGACTGGAGCTGTCGAAGTCGAGGATTACTGAGGTGCATCGGCAGCCATTTTTGAAGAAACTCCAGCAGATGGTACAGCCAAGGGAGAAAGCGCCAACTCTAAAAGGGCCACACAGAGATGGGTTGCTCGGTTCTTGTGAGTTTGGTTTGAAAACGTCACACAATGCGAGCAAGTCTCAGGTCAGAGGGCCTTGCCAAGGCAGAGGACACAGAGAGTGTGGCTGTCCCGCGGAGCTAGCTTGCTACCGCAACTGGAGAACCTCTTTTAAAAGCCCCACTTTTTAGCCATAAACAAATGGCTAATAGACAAAAAAGGGTGTGTGTGGGGGGTACGGCCAAGGGCTGAAAGAAAATAAAAATAAAACTTTTTTTTTGGTTAGAGAATAAAAGGAGAAGATGAAAGATTTGAAAACAAAAAGAGTTCTGAGGAGAAAAGGGCAGAAAAAAGGGAGAAAAAAGATCACAAAGAGCTGAGGTAGATCTCACTGACAGGTAAAGAGCTGTTGGCAGCATGGTGATCAGAAGAGAACTGGTGGGATGTTTGTACCCCACCCCCTGGGCATGCGCAGTGGGGTTTCTGTGCATGCCCGGGGTTGAGGCACAATAAATCCCTTGTACAGCTTTGCACACCACCGATCAGATCAGTGCAGGTGCACTGAGTCCCCATGAGTGTGATGCACAGAGACCATGAAGAAGATCTTGATTAACAAAGTGTTGCACCAATATCTGTTTAAAGTGGTGATTATTTATCTGGATGACATTTTTATCTATACACAAGGTAAGGACTCCTAAGTGCACCTGGTAAGAGATGTCTTGAAAGCCCTCTACCACAACTAGCTGTTTGTGAAGCTGTCAAAGTGTGCATTTCACAAAGAGGAGTTGGACATTCTGGGCTATAGAATTTCAGCGAAGGGAATTGGGGATGGACCCTACTAAAGTTAAGGATGTGTTAGGATGGAAGCCTCCTCAAACAAGGAGGCAATTACAAGCTTTCCTAGGGTTTGCAAACTTTTACCGCCCTTTCATACTGAACTTTGCACAAGAGACCTTGCCCTTAACAGAATTGTTGAAAACCAGAGGTCGAGCAGCAAATAAGCATATCTGTCGGCGAGATTGTAAAAAGCCTGGTAGTAAATTAATTTGGACAGAGACATGTCAGAAGGCCTTTGAAAGACTTAAGGCACGAGGCGGGGTTTCGGCGAGCTGATGGCGGCTGTGTCTCCTGGGATCTCCCAGGGAAGTGGCTCGCAAACCAGCAGTTAGAGAGGAGGCACAAATGTCTACACCCCCCGGGGATCCTTGCGAAGGGTCTCCAGTCATGGAGCGCTGAGGGTTGCCTCTTTCCCAGCACGCTGTCGGGAAACTGAGGCGTCCCTTTTCTCCGACAGTCTCTCTTCTGTGTTCCGGCAAGGACTAAGCTACGCACACTCTATCAAGCGAGTGGAGGTCGAGCAGCAAATAAGCATATCTGTCAGTGAGATCTATTTGATCTACATCTGAAGAGTGAGTAAAGTTGAAACGAAACAACAAAGCAAAAGCCCCCTGGGGAAAAGCGAGGGGGGAGAGGGGACTCTCCTACACTAAGAACTGTTTATAAGCGTTACGGAGCTAGAAGAAAGGGGGGGCATGTTTAAAAGCGGCAATGGACTATACGGAGAGATTCCAGGAGGCAGTTAAGCGTTGAAGCAAGTTTTTTGAACTTTGGCAAACTTTGTAAAAGTAAACATCCTTAAAAATGGCGACAGACAATGTAGTAAGAGCAACAAGCGATATCCAAGCTTTCTCCAGGAAGTGGAAGAGCTGCTGGTTAATTATCTGACCAGAAATAATCATAGACTCTTGCAAACTGTGTCTTAAGCCGTTATCCTCTGTTGATATAAATGAGATACTATGCAAGAACTGTGCTACATGTGAGCTGTTCCTTTTAAAAGGACTGTGTTAATATCAATTCGAAGGGCCTGTATGCAGACCATAAGCAAGGCTTAAAGCGAAGGAGTATCCTCCATGGTTATATCCTGATTAAGTCTGCTGGGCAATAAGGTGAAGAGACTATTCGAGTCAGGCAGTGAAAAGCAAATTGGAATGACCCCTATGACTGCAGGCAAGAATTTAAGCAGAACAGTCCTAGAAAAAGGAGAAGGGACTTTGTTTTGAGATGGCCAGTTCCTGATACAGCAAGATGATGCCACAGGGAAGAAGAAAGAGGAAAAAATCAATGGAAGAGAAAATGAGATTGTGTTATATCTACTGAGGGAGATTTATTGTTAATTTGCTTTTAATGGTGGAGGGGAAAATAATGGTTAAATGAGATGCCATTGTTCTCTGTAATTTGTGTCTAAGTTAAATAGCGATTCTTCTGGACTACTCTTCATATAGTCAGATTTGTCGGTATGTTTTTACAAGCTATGATGATGTCTGATCACTCTCAATGTTAAAGAAAGCTTTTTACTATTGTTAAGCAGATTTTTTTCAAGCTGTATGTGACCTCCAACCCTTGGGGTTTTAGTGGGTTTTCTTTTCTTTCTCCTATAGTGTGTAGATTCCCTCCCTAATTTCGTTGTAATTTTTAGTAAATGCAAATAAAAAATCCCCTATAGGTGACCATAAAAAAAGAAAGAAAGACTTAAGGCATTGCTTACACCTGAACCTGTCTTGAGTCACCCTAGTGAGAATGAGCTGTTAATTGTGCAAGTTGATGCCTCTGATGTAGCAATGTGGGGGGCGATGAAAGACAATTGCACTGGGTAAAGGTGTTGCACTATTAATGATTATAAATAACGAAGGCAGTGCAGCTTTCCTTTGTTGTTCATGTATACACTTAGAAACTAATGTCTAATTTAAAACAAAAATTCAACTCAGCTATAAATATTGGTTTTTTTCGTAATTAGCTTCTAGATTTTCTTACCAGAGATTCTTACACCTATGAAACACAGAGAGGTCAGAACTGAAAATCTTACAGCAGTGGTTCAGTGAAGGCATCAAGCCAAGCCCCAGTTGAGAAGCGGGATGGCAGATCCATATCCGCGTAGTGGACCAACTATGCCTTTTGACTGGTTGGTAACTCAGTAACTAACAAACACAGGGTTGGAACACAGGATCCAATATGTAATTGGAAGGAAGGCAGTGAACCGCAGCTCTATGCGATCTATGGCTTGATGTGACATTTGAACTGATAAATCACAAGTACAAACTATTCTCACCCTCTGGAGACCATTATATCCAAAGTCAGGACAGCTGAACACCCCCCCAAAAAACAACAACAACAACAACCCTCTAAACTATTCATTAGCCATGAGCCATCATATAATATTTAAACTCTAATTTAAAGAAAATAATTATATTAAAATAGTTAATAATAATATATTTCATTAGGTACTGGAAACAAAGCAAACCACAGGAGTTTATAAAAGTGGAGATACTGAACCTTGTTTGAATTTACATATGTTTTGAATATGCAGGGTGTATTTTCCTTCGTGTAAAGATTGTTTAAAGGTTTCTTATCTCACGGAGGGCTTTTTCACATTCTCATTTTACTCACTGATAAGTTCCTGTTTCTTCGGGGGGGGGGGTTCTGTTCCAC